CCTCCTCCCTCCCTCCCTCCCCTCCCTCCCTCCCTCCCTCCCTCCCTCCCTCCCTCCCTCCCCTCCCTCCCTCCCTCCCCTCCCTCCCCTCCCTCCCCTCCCTCCCCTCCCCTTCCCTCCCCTCCCTCCCCTCCCTCCCTCCCCTTCCCTCCCCTCCCCTCCCTCCCCTCTCCTCCTCCCCTCCTTCACTCACTCATTCACTCACTCACTGAACCTCACACAACCCTCCCAACCTCTGCCTCCTGCCTACCCGCCTCTCTCATCCCTTCTATCTCCCTCTCCTCCGCATGTACACGCTCTGGCATCGCTCTCTTACTTCTTCCTTCCACTTTCTTCCTCCCCTCCTCTGTCCTCTCTCTCCTTCCCCACATCTACCCCGCGCGCGATCTCTCGCTGCGCTCCATGCTGACTTCCATCCAGGTGTGTCTCCGAGAAGCAACGCTGTCCTCGAATGGCTGACTCTCCCGCTCCTCGCGTATCTCTTTGGCTTCCTCCTCCGCCTCTGTGCTGACCCTCGATCAGCTTCATCGAATGGGTCGTGCTCCTCCTCGTCGACAGTTTTGGAAGAAAATATGGAAGGTGAGGAGGGAGGTCAGGAGGGAGGGGCCAGGACGAAAGGGGCGAGGACAAGGACGAAGACAAGGAGTTGGGAGGATGAGAACGACAACAGAGGAGGAGGAGAGTGTGGGAGTGAGAGGATGAGGAGGCTGTTGGCGGGGAGATTTGACTAACAATGAGTGCAGCAAGAAGAAGAGAGAATGATGTAAAACAAAGACGAGCGGCCAGGAAGGAGAAGCGAGGGGGGGAAGGGGGCGGGGGGGAAGGGGGGGGAGTGGTGGTGAAGGGGGGGGGAGGGGGAGGAGTTGGTGGTGGTGGTGGTGGTGGTGGAACTATGTAGCACGTAACAGTTTGTGATGATCTCTCTTGTGAAACCAACGGAAAAAAAACTTAAAAGGAGGTCAAGAACGTCACCATGTGCTACTTGTGTGTGATTGTACATTGAGTTAGGACGAGCCGCCGTTATGGTTGACAGATTTTGCTGTAAAAGAATCTGTCAGAGGTCACGACAGGCTGTCACGAGACTGCCTACCAACTTCGTCGGCAGTTCTTGCTCATCCAAACAGGATTTAACTGCGGAAACCATAAGCATCATATCTTTATGTTCCCCCATGCCTCCCAGACTCCCCTCACCAAACCTCCTTTCTCCTGCATTCCTCCTCTTCCCTTCCTTCCAGTCCTTCTCGTTCTCTACACTCTTGTTCCCTCCCCTCCTTCCTCTCCCTCCTTCCTCTCCCCATTCCTCTCCGTGTCCCCTGTCCTTCTCACCTTACACTCCGTTGGAGTCTTTCCTGCCCAGTAGGTACACTTGGGATGCTTGTCAAAGCAGCCGCCGCTCGTTTCTTGACGTCAAAGTCAGAGGCGAGGAGGATGAGGGATTAGGATGCTGCAGAGAAAGTCCCAGAGTTGGAAAGAAGGAGAGGAGGGAAGAAGATGAGAGGAGAGAAGAGTGGGAGGGTCTGATGGAACAGGGGAGGGAGAAGAGGTCAGGAGAAGCACCTGATTGGTATCCTCGCTCGTGGATCCATTTGGTAGCCACCCACTTCTCTCCCTTGATCGGAGGAAGCCCAGCATGCAGCGTTTGCTGGAGAAACATTCTCAGTCTTGGGCGCGTTGGGAGGATGGGAAGAGGAAATGCCTGAAAGGGCTGGGCAGAGTATGCGGTGGGATGAGCAGGGAAAGGAAGAAGGGAGGGGAAGGACGAGCATGGACAGGACACTGAGGAAGAGGAGGAGAGGTCAGGGCAGGACCGCAGCCAGACCTTGTCAACACAGGTAGGGTCGATGCCGTCGCATCCATGCTTGAGGTTGTAGAACATAACGGCATCGCCCTTCGCCGCCGTGAGTTTCAAGTTGGCAGCTCCAAAATGAGTCTCCCCTCCCTCCTCAGCCGCCTGCTGCTCCGTCAGCCTAGACGGACACCCAGTGCAGCAAGATTGCTGATGCGGAGGGGAAAAAGAGAGGTCGTGGGACCGCGGGGCAGAGATAGAAAAGGAAGGAGAGGGACGAGGGAGGAGGAGGAGGAGGAGGAGGAGACGAGGACCTGGAGGTAGACGATGACAGTGATCAATCGGTTTCCTCCTTTCTCGTAATTCTCCGGCGGGTCCGTCGCGGGATCAAAGTAGTCGTGGTGCTCCGTGAACTGCTGCGACTTGGCGTAGTGGAGGACCTGGAGAGGAAGAAAGGATGAGAAGGGAGGGGGGCGAGAATCTCTACAGGAGGAGAGGAGGAGGTTGGAGGGTGAACAAGAATATTCAGAGGAGGAGAGAAGCAGAGGAGGATCGAGAATCATCAGAGGAGGAGAGGAGGAGAGGAGGAGAGGTAGAAGGGGAAGCTTATCGCTCTAAGGGTCAGACCTGCAAGTTCTCTCCCTGCTCAGGGGTTGTCTTTGTCAGCTTCGCGATCTTGTCCTCGACCCTCTTGACGACATCGTCCTGCTGGAAGTCCAGCCAGGCTTGCTTGTTGGTTCTCGTCGTGCTCTCGACGAGTTTGTTTGTGCCGTAGGGAGTGATGAGGGAGGCGGAGAGACCCTTCTGCAGCGCGAGCGAGACCAGGTGGTCACATTCTTCCTCCGTCAGCAGGTTGTGCACGATGAAGATGCGAGGGTCAACGGAAACTGTCTCGATCCATGTCGACTTCTTCGCCATGCCCCCCAGGTTGGTCATGCTCCTCCTCTCAAGGGAGGGCGCCTTGGATAGCAGCGCATCGCTCTTGGGGCCTGTCATCCACAGACTCTGCAGGAGCATCGACAAGACGGCGTATCCAACAATCTGTCACAGTAGGAGGTGAGACACGTTGAGGCGATAACGTTACAACGAGAAAGAGGAAACTTACAACGAGAAAGAGGAAACCAGAGTAGAGCCGTAGAGACCCCTTCTGGATACCCTTGCCTTCCAACTTGCGGAGGTGCATGTTCAATCCTTTGATCTAGACGAAGCGGAACCTGAACTGCTGTCATCTACATGAAACATGATTACACATACAGAAAAACCTTGAAGATATGAGCTTTCACTCCCGGCCTCTCCTGCCGCTACCTTGTCAAAGATCCATGACCTTGAATGAAACCTGCTCAAGACGTAAGGACCGGGAAACTTCTTTCAATCGCTTTTCCTTTGGCTGAAGAATTTCCATTGAAGTCAAATCTTAGCCTTGCGGCCAAGCCCTCAGATTCTTCAACTCAAAAATCTTTCGCAACACTTGATAGCCTCTTCGTCAAAATGAAATTAATTCTAAATTTCATACACATGCTCTGCCTCCTTCTTTTGTCATGTCAATTGTGTTATAATTACCTCTTCCTGATTCGCCTCCAATCATCTATCTCCTCCCTCCCCTCTCCCCCCCCTCCTCCTCCTCATCTTGATCTTCATCCTTTTCACCATCGTCAGCGTCACCATCATGCTCCTGCTCCTGCTCCTGCTCCTGATCCTGCTCCTGCTCCTGCTCCTGCTCCTGCTAAGTTTGCACCATGTGCGCCATGTTAGCATTGTCCAGTTCTACCTCATCCCCCTTCTTGCCCCTTCAATCACCACCCACCCACCCACCTACCCACTAGCTTAATCACTACCCCTACCTCCTTATAGTCAATCTCACTCTTTATGTACCCCTCTCTTTATATAGAAAATGACCCCCTCGATATCGTTAAGGATCTACACCCTACCCCATCTCATATCTTGAAAAGCGTAACACCCCGTCCTAACGAAAATATGAATCAGGTACTAATTCTTGTATGTATTTGATTTAAGTAAACAATGTGGTACATCTGAGAAGGTTCTGGAAAAGTCTACAGTACTAGTATTTCACTTAGCAAGAATGAGTAAATTTTGCTGCTAGTGTCGGGCGGCCCGCCGGTCATCCCGGGCCCCGGGGGGGTCACTCATTTTGCAAGAAAATGCGGCCGCTAGGTGGCAGACGCGTCGAGCCGCCAGTTACTGGCATGCACTGCGGTAGTCACAGTTGAGGATGAGACCTTCTGAGAGATGAGGCAGTGAAGCTGCTCACAGACTGAGAGTCATGTGATGAAGGAAACTAGGCGCGAGGTTTCATCCTTGCCGGATCATACGGTAGCCGCATGAGCGACACAGCACTGATAGAGCCCCAGAGCAGGACGGAGAGGAGGAGGCGGTGTTTGGTGCCTACATGTTTCTGCATCCTTTTCGTCCAGGGGATACTGATGACAGTCATTGTCAAGCAAAGGCTTCATCTTGACAGGTCATCGCCGAGTCGGAGGAGATTCTTGCAACGCCAAACTCGGATGAAAGATACTTTCAATGCTGTGATGACGCGCATGTCGAAATCTCTCCACGGAGCCCAGGAAAAGGGAACTGCCAAGAATAACTTGAATGAAACTTATGCGCTTCACTACGGGTTGGGACCGTTTCGAGATCCAGCAAGGATCGAGTTCGAGCTGGTGACTTCAGAGGAAGATCCTGATCAAAGCATCGTGATCGCCTTTCACAACGCGCAATCTCACGTCCTTGAGACTCTACCCACTGTACTCAAGATGTCCTGCGGGTCTGCTGAGCTCCTCCTGGTCCTGGACGCCTGCACTGACTCGACGCAAGAAATGATCATGGGCCTGATTAACAGCAGTAAATTCAGGGAAACGACCATCTTCACGCGGGTCCTTCTTGTCGTGCAGCCGACGCCAGTGTGGGAGACTTCGTCGGAGAACATCGGATACAGATTATCACGGGCCACCAAGGCGATCATCTCTGTTCAGGCCGACATGCTCGTGCAGGAAGTTTGTTTCAACCTTGCGATGTACATCCCCCTCCGAGTCTTCAACGATGTCTTCGCCGTGTCGGCTCGTTGTGCTCATGGAAACTCAACTTTCGTAGGAAGATGTGGGACCGATTACAACGATCCTTTACCAGTCTACCAGCAGTGCATTGCCAAGAAGTTTTTCACCATTCGGGGAACTTGCAACCGAGGGCCACTCCTCTGGCACGCGCCCTCCTTGCGGCAGCTCGAGTTCCTTGATGAAGGCGGGTTCTACCAGGAAGACGATGATCACGACCTGATTGCAAGAGCATACAGCAAATTGCGCATGGTAGCAGGGTACTACTTCGTTGGAACCTATGGTCCCCGCCGGTGGGGGGCGTCTCGCAACCCCGCTCCTCTGTCATCCTCGGCCACAGCCTATCGGGACATGAGGCTTGCAGCGCAGACAAGGAGAGCTCCCGTGAAGTACCCGCGCGTCTCTCAGACTCGCTTGATGCTCTTCGCCACAGTCATCTTCCTGCCAGTGTGGACAGACGTTGAAGAGCAGACGGCCAACTTTATCACCGGTTACCGGCCCACCCCGCACAGCGCCATCGTTGCCATCGACTTTGGACTGGACAGAGTCGGGCACAGGAGGATCGCAGGCCATGAAAAGATCTTGACGGTCGTGAGGGATGGGTACATAGGAAGGGTCTTGGATTGCAGGATCCTGCTCCACTACATCGCGAGATGGAAGTACATAGTCCCAGCGAGCGAATTCTTCATGGTATGTCCTCAGAAGAGAAACGCGACCAGGAGCGAGCCTCTGCTCAGACTGCCAGGATTTGCTGCTTGCTAACTTAGTGATGGCTCCAGGGGAGTAGAAACTCTGCTGCAATCAGCTCAGTCTGCCACGTGTAACGAGATAATGCTCTTGTACCCATGAGATCGTTGGTCGTTACACACTCATCATGAACATGCTGTCCTCTCATATGACCTTTGTCTTGAGTGAGATTGTACTTGCGTAAGATCTTGCGCTCACTTGAGATCTTGCGCTCCATTGAGCTCTTTAGCTCGAGTAAAGTTCAGTGCTTGCGTACAATATTGAACTAAAGAATGATCTTTGTCTTAAGTATGTTGATGTCTACAAAGCACTTTCGCTGAGTGACAACGACCAGATCTTTCAGCCAAGAAACCACGAAGAGACCTGGTTCAATGTCGACAGGAGCTGGTCTCTGGCTCTGGAAGCCCTATATCATTGAGACTCTACACGAGAATCTCAACGAGGGGGAGTACCTTGTGTACGTCGACGCTGGTGTCGTCATCAAGTCGCCGATCGCTTTCTTGGCTCTTCTCCAAGGAATTCAAAGAGGACATGCAAGCAGTCGGCTAAGCTGCTTGCTTGCACTTGCATCTTAGCAGACAGCCTTGATGATCAGGGTATCTGGGTGCTTCTGCATGTTCGCTCTTGACCGATACCTGACGACTCAGTGGGATTTGAGCTTTGAGGAACAGAAGGGGTTGAGTAAACTTACAACCTATTTTTTACTCATCACAATACCAGGTACTACTTGAAAATGTACTTGTGACCACCCACCCTCATCTTAGTGAGCATCTGCTGTAAGCAATGAGAGCTAGCTAGTGGCCTCCGGGTACCACCCCTACTCCGAGTGTACGGTAACCGGGGGTACGGAACTGATTCGTATCTTCCTCACTGAAAATGAGTCACAACTTTAGTGAGGGGTGGGTGGTTATGTCCGTCCTCTTCGTCTAAAGGTATGGTGGGGTGGCCAGAAGGGGTCAATTTCCTTAGCAGCGGGTGAGAAACTGCCGGGTAGGGGTACTAGAATCAGTGGGAATATGATGGGGTAGTACCTCTTGTGGTGCAAGGTGGGGACACAAAAAAAAAAGCAAGAGGCTTCAAAGAAACGAATAATGGACATCCAAATAGATGAAGATAGGGAAGATAAAGCAAGATAGAAAAGATAAAGGAAGATAGAAAAAGATAATGGAAGATGTGATGAGAATAAATGAAGGTCGAACGCAGAGGAACGCTGTGAAGGATGAGATGGCCGGAAGAATTCAACATAGCAACAAACTCAAGCGATGCTCGAACAGCATATAGTTCAACATAACAACAAACTCAAGCGATGCTCGAAGCATCAACAAACTCAAGTGATGTGCGAATTTGAGGGTTACGACGTAATTTGATAATTGCTGACGATCAAGAATAGCTTTGTCTGCTGCTGACGTGACGTTAACTTGGAAATTGCAGATGCAGAAAGCGAAAGAGTTCTGGAACAGCATCAAGGCAGACACCGGCCCTGAAGGTTCAAATTCATGTTTCTATGCACTCGGATGTGCATCGCTGACGCACTTTCAGACGAGCCGGAGCCGATGAACTGGTGGTGGTTGTGCATGCCAAGGCTTCCATGGTCGGAACCCTCCAAACCTCCTCCCTTCTACGGCGTGAACACTAAAATTCCGCTGTCTGTCGCCATGGTGATGGGCTTTCAGCATGCTCTAGCGATGATTGGTGGGATTATTGCTGTTCCTCTCTTGCTCACAGGCCCTTACAACGCAAGGCTGACCTCTGCTGAGACTGAGTACCTCATCTCGGCCGGTTTGCTTTCTTCCGGAATCCTTTCGCTGATCTCGGTAACGTCAACAACCTCGAATAACAGCAACGGTGATCATTGTGCTAGGTGACAAGATTCAAGGTATTCAACACCGGCTACTTCCTTGGAACTGGTCTGATCTCCGTACTTGGCACTTCCTTCACGTTTGTTCCTATAGCGCAAGCAGCCATGAAGTTCATGATGGATTCAGACTCGGGCATGTCATGCATGACTGACAGCGACTGCACCAAAGCGTGGGCGGACACGAGCGGTTTTGCAATCCCCGGCAAGACCAATGCCGGTCAGTGCAACACGCTCTCCGGGTTCTGCAAGTACAGCGGTCAAGAGGCATACGGTGCATTCCTCGGAACTGCCGTTTTCTGCGCCTTCCTTGAGATCGCCCTCAGCTTCCTGCCCAAGGATCAGCTCCGAAGATGCTTCCCTCCCATCATCACGGGGACCTGCGTGATGCTCATCGGGTTCGGGTTGACAGGAGAAGGCTTCAAGTACTGGGGAGGAGGAGTTTACTGCGGCGACAACTTCTTCAAGCGCATGAGGGTCATCCAGCAGCCTAACTTGCCGGGCGACTGGACCAAGAACTACAAGTCGACGTCTCCATGCGCCAACGGCGCATGCGTTCCCTTCAAGGGAGCTCTCTCGGGAGTGTGCGAGTACACCCCGCCTCAGTTTGACTCCAGCAAGAACATGACCATCGGCGAGCGAACCGTCTGCAACGCCTTCATGGACTCCCCGGGAGTGTTTCCTCCTCAGACTGATGTACAGATGTCGTTTCAGTTCTGCCAAGACAACGGGCAAGTGAAGCTTCCCTTCGGTTCGCCGCAGTACGTGACCCTGGGCTTCGCCGTGTTCCTCAGTCTCATAATGATCGAGGTCTTCGGCTCTCCTTTCCTCCGCAACTGCGAGGTTGCCATCGCTCTCCTCTTCGGTTTCTTCATCTCAGCCGTCGCCACGTACAACAACGATGGCACCAAGGAATGGTTCGTAGTCAACGACAAGATCTCGAGCGCGCCAGGCATCACCTTCTTGTGGGTCAAGACCTTCCCCTTGACTGTGTATCCCCCTGCGATCCTTCCCTGCCTCATCTGCTACATCATCACGACTGTTGAGACCATCGGAGACATCACCGCCTCTGCTGAGGCCTCCAAACTCGCCACCGTCGGGGATGACTTTGACTCAAGGATCCAGGGAGGAGTGCTGGCTGACGGGTTCTGTGCTATGATGGCCTGCCTTTTCACAACCCCTCCCAACACAACCTTCGCGCAGAACAACGGAGTTATCGCCCTGACTCGATGCGCCAACCGCCGAGCGGGCTACTGCTGCTGCTTCTTCCTCATCCTCTTCGGCATCATCGCCAAGGTCGCTGCGGTCATCGCGACCATCCCCGACTGCGTGCTGGGAGGCATGACTACCTTCCTCTTCGTCAACATCGTGGTTTCAGGTGTCAACATCCTCGGGCCGGCCATCGCCGTTCGCAGGAACAGATTCATCGTATGCGCCTCTCTCGCTGTCGGCATCGGCGTCGCTCTCGCCCCCCAGTGGGCGACCAACGCTCTTGTTGCTCCCGGCAAGACCGCAACAGCTCAGCTCGCAAGCGACTCGCTCGTCATCGTCCTCTCGACGCCCTACTGCATCGGGACTATTACAGCACTGTTGCTTCACCTGCTGATTCCCAACGACAAGGAGGATGAGACTAACGTTGTTAGAAACGACGACATGGTGAAGGAAAAGGCCTCAGAGCTTTCCTTTGCACACTTCATCCCCACAGACTCCTCAGTGTATCAGGGGTCAGACCACACCATGGCTTCTCAACAAGGCATGAACGCTCCTGTTGTTGGAGAGCAACAGGTCTATCCGGTACGACACCCTCATAACTTTACAGTTCTTGTTGTTTTCTTGACGCTGACGCCAGTCATATGATGTTCAGATGCAGCCCATGCCACCTTCTTACGTCATAGCACAATACTGAAGGCAACGACTCGCCTCCTCCATTCCGCTGATCATCGGATGATGATGTGCCATGATCATCGGATGTCAGTCATTATGCCGTGATGCCATGATAATGATGATGATGATGATGATGATCGGATGATGATGATGATGATGATGATGAGGAGGAGGAGGAGTTGCTATGGTAGTAATGTGAATGAATGGTTCACAAATACTCAGCTTGTCAAGTACGAGTTCTGACCCGACCAGGAATAAACTTACCGCACGAGTTAGCGGCAACGGCTTGACTCAGCCTCCGTTCAGTCGGATTATTACGATTAGATTTCATCTTTCCTTTTGGCACCCTGACGCACAGCTAGATGACTCTGAGGCGGCGAGAACAAGGAAGCGCCGATGGCGTTGCGGCGGTGAAGGGATGGGAGGAGGGATAGAGAACAAAGAGACAGCGAGCTACCGACCAACGAGGAGGAGAGCAGAAGCTTGTGGGGAGGAAGATAGGCAGGAGGACCATGACTGAGAGAAAGTTCCGCGCTGACGTGGGGACAATCGTATGGCAATGTACGGAGATCGAGCCGACGAGGGGCTGCTAGAGAAGATCGCGCGCGTCGGACGTGCCATCCCAGGTTTCCTTTGCAACTTGCCAGTGAGGGTTGTGTTGAGAAGAGCTCTAGGAGCCCTGTATGCTCTAGGAAGGAGCGTCAAGTCCATTCTGACCATGGAAGCTCTCAGCGACGTTCTCCTCGAGCACAAACTCCCGCACACGGTCTGGCTGTTGGGGGTTCGATACACTCTCGCACCTCCACCGATGGGGCAGAGGGGAGAGGGCAGAGAAACTGAGCAGACAGTCGTTGACGAGAGCCAGAATTTCAAGCTGGACATGTGGTCAAGGCTGTGGTTTAGTTACAGATATAACTTTCACCCCATCTCAGGAACAGAACTCACAACAGACACGGGTTGGGGCTGTATGATACGCAGCGGACAGATGCTCATTGGCCAAGCACTTGTTCATCATCATCTTGGCCGCGATTGGCGTCTCTCCCATACGTCCAAGTAGCTCTGCATTGAGTTGACGTCTTGAAACTCACCTCCTCCTCGTACCCTTCACAGATACAACGAGCTGCCGTCGGACTACCGCAAGGTCCTCGAGATGTTTCTCGATCATCCGTGTGCCCCCCTCTCCATCCACTCCTTCGTGCGGGCAGGGCAGCAGGTGAGCTGAGAGCTGATCCTCCTCAAAGGGCGCTGAGGGAGTTGCAGGTCGGCAAGAAGGCGGGGACATGGTTCGGCCCCAACACTGTCTGCTCTGCGTTCAGCAAACTTCATGTCATCGTCTTGTAATCTTATCTCGTCCGTCTCGCTCACTCGGCACTCGTTGCAGGCCGGCGGCGCTCTTGGCTCCGACAACAACCTTCAGCTCCTTGCCTACGACGGCAACGACGGCGACAACACCATCTACAAGAGTGAAGCTCTAGAGCTTCTGCAGGTCGTCCATCTGCTTGGGGGCTCCTCTTCTGACAAGTCAACAGGCGGGCCCGCTCTTCATCCTCCTGCCCACACGCCTTGGAGTGAGCTCTGTCGACCCATCCTACATCCCCAAGATCTCGCACGTTTTCAGCTTCCCTCAAAGTCTCGGATTCATCGGGGGGAAGCCGGTCAGAGGAGGTCTGTGATGACGATGATGATGATGACGATGCTGGATCAGTCGTCGGCTCACTACTTCATCGCCTCGCAAGGAGAAGCGGTGTATTACCTGGACCCCCACACGCCTCAACCCCTCATCAACATATCCGAGAAAGAGTCAGTCTAGTCTCCTTCCTCTTCATCCCTCTCATCGCCTTCTTGCAGCCATCGCAGTTTCCACTCCTCCGCAGCCCACCGGATGCTCCTCCAGGTTTCGTGCTCCGCTCCTCCTCTTCGCTCACCTCCTGCAGCATGTTGACCCGTCCTTGACGTTCGGGTTCTACGTGAAAGACGAGGCGGACCTGGCGGACCTCTGCGAGCGTCTCACTACGATGAATCAAGCTCTTGGCGGCTACCCCGCCATCTCCGTGGCGGACAAGAGATGTTTGCCTGCAGCCGACCTCAACTTTGATGAGACGGAGGACGATGACGGCGTCATCCTCGTATGAAAAAATGCAATCAGGGACGGCGATGCCGGCGCTGCGTGTGCTGTACTTGTATGAAAAGACTCGTAAACAAGTCCTCCGCTCTGCTCCCCCTCAACTTGCATCTACCGACGGTCTCCGGGTGGCAGCGATCAAGATGTTTCGAAGGAAGACCTCGTCTTGCACGGCCGTGTGGACGGTCTCTTGATCCGCTGACTGAGTGCTTGTCCTCCTCGGCGAGAGCATCGGAGGTTTCTTGAGCCCCGGGAGTTTCAGAGGGCTGCCCGACGACACTGAGTTTCGAGGTCGGAAGCCAGCCTTGCGCAGCATGCTCATGACCAGCACGTACCGCCAGAGGTGCATGAAGTGATCGAGCGTTGAGCGATGCCGCTGGGAGACGAGGATGCTCATCACCTTCCTCCTCTTCCTCTGCTGCTCCACCAGCAGCTTCCACTCCAGAAACAAGTTCCCCATCTCTTTGGCGCCGAGCCTGCTGCTCAGCTTCTGAGCGAACCCCTGCTTCCTCTCTTTCTGCTCCATGTGGGCAAACTGCAGCCATCTCATCCATGCAGAGCGGATCTTGATGGACGCGATGCAGCTCTCTGCTCGCGTCGCCTGTCGGATGAAGGCAAGTCGGTGCGACCAACGCTGGAAGGCGACGTGGAGGTCTCGATGGAAGAGCTTCCTCGCTCGTTGCAGCGACAAGTCAGCTCGCGACGCCCGGCGGCTGCCGAGGAGGTGACTGTGATGCCTCCACTGCTTCAGCGCCCGACTACACTCCATCCTAGTGGTAGCCTTGAGGGCCCAGTGCCTCACCTTGTCCAGCATCCTGTTCCTGGCCTTGGTGTAGGTCTCATCCTGCGCTCGCATCATCCTCTTGATCCTCGAGTTCTCTTCCCTCCTGCGCGAGTTCGACAAGTCACGGGCAAGGAGTGAGGGCGAGGCATGCGACTCACAAGAGGTGAACCTCTGCTTCCAAGGATGAAACCTTGTTCAGAGCGTGCGCTGATTCTCTTTCTCTCCTAAGGATCATCTCCCTCAGCGCTTTCTCCTTCTCTTCAAACGTCAGGCTCAGCGCGTAGGTCTCGGCAGTGGAATCAGCTGCTTTCTTGTCTAGGTTCGAGGCCCTCTGCGGGAGACGTCAGCGAGGTGCTTGGTCGAGACATGTCGTACAGCCATGAGCTCGTTGGCTTGCTGCTCCATGCTCTCGACCTGCTGCTCTAGGAACGCGATGCGGTCATCCTTCTCCGCCAGTTGACACATGAGCTCCTCTCTGACTCATGTCACGCCACGTTGCGCGCAAGATGACAACATTACATCTTCACAGAGAGACTTTGCTCTACGTTGGAGTGCAGGCTGGCTTTAGAGACCACGAGCTGATTGAGCGCTGAGATCGCCACCTGCCCTCCTCTCACTCGCACGCCTCCAAGAGCTCTCTCTCTCACCTGCAGCATCGGAAACGCGTCCATCCTGGTCCTCGGTTTGAACTCGTTCAGCCACGAGATCAGCGTCTCCACATGCAGAGTCTCCTCGTCCATCTTGGGAGGCGTTTCGGTCGAGGCCTCGGCCGCCAGGAAGTCACAGTAGTACCAGGTGAGGTAGGAACACGCATCTCGCTCCTCTTCTCTCCCTGCACGCAGACATGAGGAGGAGGAAGGAGGAGGAGGAGGAAGAGGAAGAGGAGGAGGAGGAGGAGGAGGACACGCGCAAGTCACCTGCTAGAGTCACCTCGAAGGTTCGAGGCCCACCCTTCCCTGCCAGCTCAGCATAGTAGCGCCGTCGCCATCGCATGCTCGCGTTGGTATCCCCTGTCTCCTCCTCTCGTCGGACCGGCGGCTCCTGCCTCTGCTCCTCAGAGAAAAACCATCCCTGCTCGTTGACTTGCACGTCTATGCTCGGCCACTTGGTCTCAGGGAAGAGAAGCCTCGACTCGGGGCTACTGCGAAGCCTCCTGGAGCTCACGGAGGGCCGTGCGGTGAAAGGTCTGCGACCCTTGGGAGGAGGAGGAGGGAGAGGAGGGGGCATGGCGATGCCTTCCGACTGCCCGGTAGACCCATCTATCGTCCTCTCAGCCATGACCGACCTTGATAGCAAGATGCTTCACCGCTGCTCTTGACACCTGCGTCTCATTCTCTCCCTCCTTCCTGCCCGATCAGACTCTTTTTTCATCCTCACGTCTTCCTACTGCCCTGAATCATCTCCGAGGTTCCCCACGACTTCATTGATGGTTGGACTCCCACTGACTCAGCGATAGCAGGGCCTGCATTACATGCAAGTTTCAGTAGCGCTACAGGCCGTGCCTCCTGCTCCTGCTCCTGCTCCTGCTCCTGCTCCTGCTCCTGCTCCTGCTCCTGCTCCTGCTCCTGCTCCTGCTCCCGGTCCTGCCAGGCTCCTGCTCCTGCTCCGTGGCCGCTCGTGGTGCCACGGCGCGCTGCTACACTAGCCTGCTAGGCTCCCCTCCTCCCTCTGCCTCAGCCCCGTCACAGTCCACCATCTTCGTCCATGCCTCGCCCCCCCCCGGGCAAAACTACCGCCCGGGGGTCCAGCCGGCGTCTGCCGGGGCTTCTCCAGCGA